CGCGATGTGTTCATTATGTAGGGACTGGTCGCTCGCACTTTCGCCCGCGCGCTTCTTCGAATGTTCGCTCAATACTGGAGGCTTATTTAAGGCACCTTCGATGGTTTTCCCCACCTTTTTCCTTACTGGTAGGTCATTGAGCATCCACGAATTGATATTTGGACCCCAAAGCTGACGAGTTACAGTGCGGGATGCATCTTCAGGATAATGTGGAAGGTAGCACTGTGAAAATATCGAATCTGTAGCCACATTGCACGGTTGTAGAGCAAGTATGCAGTTTGTCCTGGTCGAATAAACCCGCCAACACGCTCTGGACCCTGTAACGCTCACCATTCATTCTCTCTTTGTGATCACGTGACACCTTTGAAATTCCTTCATCCCATTTCCGTGCGAGTTCATCATACCATGACTCATTATTTCCCATTGCATCGCGAAATTAAAAGGAAAAAGGGATCAAAGTTTCCCGCAGAGGGGAGCAATCTGTGACCGCGAAATAGGGGACGTTTGAGCAGTTCGGCGACGGAGGAGGAGGGAGGGAGCATTTTGCACTTTTGCTGCTTCCCATCGACGCATCCACCCATCTACAGGGGGGGGGGCAAAAAAAAGTCACTTTTCTTCATTGACTTTCGAGGCGCTATAAGTTACACTTTATTAAATTCTGATCGGACATTTTTACCACCATATTAAAGAGCATATTAAATACTATCATGACACTCCGCCACAGCCTTCTGGACGAGCGCCATCGAGAGATTCTGGCACGCGACCGCGATGTGGTGCCTGAGATCAGCGAGATAGTCGATTTCTCCGCCACCGTAGACCACCCTATTGAACTCCGCCCGAACCGGGTAATTGAGGGGATTCAGGTCAGGTGACCTACTTGGATATTCCATCTTCTTTAGGTACTCAGCCCCCTTCCATTCCAGTAGGCGAGAGTTTCTCCAATGCCCTTCGATTCCATGTGGTGGCACCCAATGCTGTAGCAGTACAAAGTTTCCAAGAAGGTACGGGCGACGACATGTGAGGAGGATATTCTTCACGAGTTGCTCGATGTAACCGCCAGCGCTCACCTTCAGTCCGGGGTCCACGAAGAAAATATTGGTCTTTCCATTCCAGGTACGTCCGGTCCATACCATCAACCCGCGCCTTGGCGACTGTGGTGAAGATGATGTCCTAGACCGTGGCGACGTTGTCGGAGCTGCTCGATGTTGGAGGTCTTCCAGATCGAGAGTACTGGTCTCCAGGTAGCTATCCATGGGTGACTCCATACTAGAAGTTTCGCAGCTGTTTGGAGGTGACATGAATTCCAAAGGTCTTCTCCAGTCAGGCTGCGACTGGAGATGACTTCATATTTTGGTGTACATGAAGGTGATGGGCGAGAGCCAGCTCCTGCTTATAGAGGAACATCTTGGGTATCTTCCGCCTGGTACTCGTATCCACGTCCTCTGTCTGGGCAGCGAAAACTTTGCTGATATGTGACTCGGTCGAAGTGACTTTTTTTTGCCCCCCCCCCCTGTAGACACCCTCTTCGCGAGCTGATAGGTTTTACCATGGTGACTTGATGAGCTTCCTCCAGCTTCACAAGAGTTATTATCATATTATCACCCCATATATGCAATTCGCTTCGTCTGTTTGTTTGTTTGTTTGTGTAAGTTTGTAAGTTTGTCTGTCCGGAAATTCGGTTCGACCTGAAGAACGAC